TACTGATGCAGCTCAGTTGTGAGTTCCAATATATCACCAGAAGACCCCCAATTTACACAGGGTGAAGCAGTAATGATAGCATTAATTCTCTTTGAACATCTACATGAGGGCATATAGCACAGTATAGGAATGCTGTCAACAAAGCCTTTATTATAGATTAAACTCTATTAGTTTTCACTACTTGTAAGGATTCTACCATCCTGAACAGGAAACCACATGGCCTGTCTTCAGGAATATTTGTGAGCTTGCTTGCCATAAGGTACCAAAAGACATCAAGAATAATTTAAGGGTGCACCACATATGACTCCTGTAGTCCTTATCACTTTTGTGCCACTATATTTGATCCATTGTGCTAAACATAGAAGCTTTTAAAGTTTACCTTGTTAAACTCCTCAGCTAATTAGATCAGAGGGCATGATTTCAGCAGCTGCAGAAAGCATGCAAATGGAGCAATAAATAAGGAAACCCATAATTAATGTCTTTTAAACAAATTGGCAAGAGTTGCATAAATGTCAATCGGGGGTGATATGGAGAATGCATTTCTGGGAAGTGATTATTTTATTGAAAGAAGTGAGAGATGAGAACTAAATAATGACATTTCCTCTTAAGGACATTTATTTCCTGCACATCCACTTTGTTAGGTGCTATGCGAGTATGAAGAAGCAGCCATCTCTTTAGCTCTGTAGCTGTCCTGTTCTGCAAAATTTAAAGCCCATTAATAACCATCACCTGTTTTGCAGGTGTAGTGAAAAAGAGAGATTTTGCCAGGTGCTGCTGAAAGGTGAACTTGAAGCTTGTGAAGGAGCACTTTTCATTTTAATTAATTCTGCATGCGAAGCTTCCACCAATATTAATCTCCTTTGACCAACATGGTTAATTAATTATCCTAAGTGTTTGTAAACAGATTTTCTACATACTCCTTCTCCAACTGTTGCATGCTGACCTCTTTGATGATGTGTGGCTCTAATAGTGGAGACATAAAGAATAGCAGAGATGCTGCCAACAGGGGCTTCCAACTAAAAGCAGAGCATCCACTGGGTTGCATAAAACATAGCTTGACTGACTGAACAGGGTACTCAGGATGAGTCAGGCAATGAATAAAGTTACTTGGGGGTGCTTCTCGTTATTCCTTTTGCACATATTAAGATCAACACAAATGGATTTTTGCATACTGAACCAGTCTGGTGAGTGATTTAGCACATGCCCAGTTGCTGTTGTTCGTTCCAGATCAGTCAGCTCATCTAGAGATTTCCAGTGGGTGATAACAATTGATTTAGACAGATTGAACAATTAGAAGACCAGTTCAATGTGTGCAAGTGGATGAATTGAGTCAAGCATATATAAAGTTGTTGTGGGAACCTGCTTTCTTTGCGAAGGCCCCAAAGTTCCAGGTCCATAGGAATCTTATACTGTATTACGCCAAGTCAGAACGTTGGTCCATGTAGCTCATTATTGTCTGTACACCGAAATGCAGGGGCTCTCAAGGGTTTCAGACAGGGGACATTCCCAGCTGTACTTCCCTAAACAGGAGGTTTACGGGTTTACAAGGGTGACTTCCAAGAACTGCACAGGGAGTTACCTCTTAGAAGGTGAGCTGGTGCAGTGTGAAAGCCATGACTGTAACAATGTGCTTACTGCTAGCTCAAAATCTGCAGGGATTCCAGAATGCTTTCCTTTTGTTTGTACAACCTTTCAGAATTATCATTATTGTTTTAATTGGAAGCCTTAGCTTTTAATTACTTTGCCTTGAAAAATGTGACTTTTAAATTATGTTAGTAATAGTGCCATCTTTGTAACACATTGCACCCTCCAAATTGCATATAATATTGAATGCTACTTTGGATATTTCCTCCCTTCCACAGTGCCTCCCCCCTCAGATCTTTCCCCTGTTTTTATAAGAGTCAATCATGCATGTTCACATCCATGCAAATGCATTATCCATCTCAAAAACGAAAGGGGATCCTCTCTTCCGATCCAGTTCTTTGAGGGAGGAGTTTTTAACATGATATCTATAGCCTACATTTAGAGACTCAAATCTGCCTGTAAGAAATGCTAAAGTGTTCTTTTAAATACAAAATGTTAACTTGTGTCAGTGGTATTTACCTGGTCCAACACAGACATACAACTTTCCCTCTACTTTGGGCAACTGATATGAGGCTTATTGGAATGGAATGATTTTTTCATATTTCATTACTCCTCTCATAGGCATGCAAACAGATTGTCAGGTTGTAGAATGCTGTGTTTGCTGCACTCATGTCCTTGCTATGCTTTTCTCATCTAAAATGATGTGATGTCTGATATACCCTAAAAAGAAAGGAAAGGAATGTCTCTCACACCAAGATCCTCAGTAGTGAGCCCTACTCAGTTCCAAGTCACTTATTTCTAAGTAAGCATACATAGGATTGTAACCATGCAGTCAGAACCTCTTTGCCTAATAATACTTATTTCTGGGTTCCTTCAGTTGATAGTTTGCTGTCGACAGGTGACTGGATGCTGCCTTAATCATTTAAACTCTGATACCTCATTAAGACACAGAAATGCTCTTTAAATGTTCACTCAGCCATCTGGAGGTACTTGCCTGATGTCTTGAAGGGATTGTAGCCACACAAAGTTCCTTGTTTGTAGTGTGTCAGCTTGCACACACTGCCATATTTGCCAAAAGCTGTTAGCACAGACTCTGAGCACCCTTTGTACTGCAGATTGAAGCATCCCCTGTCATGTGAAGCATTTAACAGTTGTGGTTTTCCACTATATGTTTGCTTGTCCTTGAACATATCCCATGTACTTTTGTAGAACATCTATATGACCCAACTATATGGTGAGGGCTAAGGGAGTCTTACCAGCCCCACCACCTAAAACTGGGTGCTGTTGTTGTGAAAGAGACCGATAGGGGCTTCCTGTTGCCCCTGTGGTTAAATGTTTAGATGCACCTACCACCCATGTGGGATTCTGTAATGGAGGTTTGTGCACATGAAAGTCCATCAAAGTGTTTAAACTTTCCACCAGCAACTGAAGGTTTTAGCAGCGTTTTACTTAGTATCACCTCCATACATTTTGCAACACATTCCACACTGCACACATATGCCAAGATTAATTTCTAGGCTTCTAAACAAACCCAAAATTCATAACACTACAATGTATTTTATTGCCTACTCAGGAGAATGTCGGACCCACCTATCATAATTCTTGTAATACCTATGGATTTGACTGTTCAAGTCCTCTGTAAACCCTTTGGGATCCTGAGTAAGCAGGTCACCTATGCCTGTAAATGACTTTTATTCCTTTCTTGAAATAACTTGTTTACTAAGCCCACATTGGATTCTCTCTCTCTTTTTAAAACCTTAATTTGATATTTTTTTTTAAAAGGAGCAATAAATATTTAATGATCTGGGTGCTGTTAAATTCAGAATACCCAAAAATCCTTGATTATACTGACGTAACCTTTGACATCCAAAGAGGCTATAATAAGTGCTTTTGTCCAGTGATTCTAAAACATCAGATGCAATAGCAGAAGAGGGTGAACTGACAGGCATGAGGAATTAAAGCCCACAAAGCAGGTAAAGAGTGAGGAACCAAAGTTCACTTTAGTCTTCCACCCACACTGCTCCTGTATTCACCTTGCCTTGACCAAAACCCAGTGGGTGGAGGTTGAGGGAGCCACAGCCACAAAATATAGGGGAGTTTGCTCAGCCTGTGCCCTCTTGTCTCATATCTGCTAACCAAGGCAGTAATTAGTGTCAATGGTGATGGAAATAATGGGCACAAAGGCAGGACTTTTCATGTCTGAAAGCATTATTGATAGGTATTCTGGACTTTCTGTGGGGAATATTGCACTTCAAGGAGCATTAGTCCTAAAAATGTCAACTTGTAAATGGATCAGAACCAATTTCAAAGAAATATTTTTCTATATCTAGTACTCAATGTAGAAAACACAGTAATGCCAAGTTCCCAGGAAATAACTTTGGGTATTAATGGAAGATCAAGGTTCATAATGTCATACACAGTAGCACAAAAATAAGCTTATTTAAGCTTCCTGTTAAAATATCGTCATGTGTTGCAGAAAACTGAACAATATATTTTTTTCCTTTTCTTTTTTTACATTTTTGTTGCAAAATCTTAAATGGGTGTTTATTAAAGGTATAATAGGTATAATAATAATAATAATTCAGCCAGGGAACATGGAAAACCTTTATCTTTGCAATGTGGTGTTAGCTGTGGTAACATCCCATTCAAGTACTTCACATAGAAACAGGGGTTACATTCCTCTTAAAGTCAGCATTCAGCTTTGCTCCTGGATGTCCAGGGAGCAGTGCCACCATGACCAGGAATCTTCTCAAAAGCTTCAAGCTAATCTGCAGCTGTTCCCTTTTCTGGAGAAACTAGGCATGGCCATTTATCCATGTGCCCTAGTTTCTCCCAGGTTAGATTATTGTAATGTACACTACCTTTGAAGATGGTTGAGAAAGCAGCTTCCAGAGTTCTAAATGGAGTTTGCAAGTTAGATCCTATTATTCTGATGTTCCACTGGTTACCAGTTTGTTTCTAAATTCAAGGTGCTGACTTTAACATTTCAGGCCCTGAATGGTCTAAGATGGGGGAATCTCAATAATCACTTACTCCCATATGAACCTGATCAAAGTACTGAGATCTACTTCTGAGCCCTGTTCCAAGCCTTCTTGTTGTTGGACTTGGGCATAAGAGACAGAGCTCTTTTTGTGTGACACCTTCCTGAGGGTTGTGCATGTGTGTTTGGCCCTGTCGCTGCTTGTCTTTTGAGAAACAACTGAGGCCTTTTGTTTCAGTGGGTTTTAATGGGATGCTGCTGCTGCTTCATTAAGACTGGCTTCATTTTTGGATCAGGGATTAGTGCGTAGTTTTAAAATTAATTAATCCAGACATTCAGTTTCCATGTATTTCTACAAAGTTCAGCTGACCACGTGGACTGTAATTTGGGGTGATGGTTTTAGCAATGATCTCTTTCTGTTTTTCCATTGCTTCAGGTGGGATGGTGGAAGGACAAGCGTCTCAAGATGAAGTATTATGTGTGGCCACGTTCTGAGCTTTACCCTGACAGTGAGGAGCGTGCAGATGACCATCTCAGCATAGTGACCCTAGAAGAAGCACCGTTTGTCATTGTGGAAAATGTGGACCCCCTAAGCGGTACCTGTATGAGGAACACTGTCCCATGCCAAAAAAGAAATGTGACAGAGTAAGTGCCAACAGGATCTTTCTCCAGCTGATTCCTCCTAGCATGTTTCTCTCCACAGCAGCAAAGCCAGCTGGACCGTCTCAGGCTGGCTTTGTTGCCACTTGCCACTAACTCCACATTCCAATCAGCTTGGCTCATTCAGCAAAACATCAAGCAGAGTTTTCAGCCAGGGATGTAATGGAGAATGAAAGAGAGAGTAGCCAAGGAAAGACGTAGGGGATAACAGTAGGCAATTTTCAACAATTCTAAATTCTAGCACAGATCAAAATTGTCCAAATCACATTTTTGTTGGAAATTAGCACCTTTGTCTAAAAAAAAGGAAGAAGATGAAAAAAAGAAAATGACAAGAATATATTTTCAAAATTTCTGCTTATAACATTCAGTTTCTGCTAGGAATGCCACACAAAGTTTGAATTTGGAACTAAACATGGTAATTCTGTGTTTTTCAAGGATCATATGGAATTTCTCAAGATTAAATCCACTTTCCGAGTGTAGCATGATGCAAAAAATGGGCCACATGTTTTTGTTTTTAGTTTTAAAATATCATTTATCAGTTACACTTAATCACTTTTTGTTGTGGCTGTTTAGCAACAAGACGGATGAGGAGACTGCATACACCAAGAAATGTTGCAAAGGGTTTTGTATTGATATCCTCAAGAAAATCTCCAAGTTTGTCAAGTTCACCTATGACCTTTACTTGGTAACCAATGGTAAACATGGGAAGAAGATCAATGGAACATGGAATGGAATGATAGGCGAGGTAAGCCATGAAAGGTACCTGCTTTTACTTACAGGCTCACCAACAGACTGAATGAATTATTTCCCCACTATGGCTGGGTGATACTTGTTCTTGGGGCAGAAATTGAGTCATGCTTTCCAAATCTGTGTAGCAATTTGAATTTTGCCTTTGGGAAAAATTATCATCTTGGAATTATCATCAAGCAAATTTGTGAAGTTATATGATATTTACATGGTTTTTTTAAATATAAAAGCAAATGTAAGAAAAAATATTTTCTGGAACAAGCAGGAAATGAAGAGCAATAGAAATAATGTTGTTTTCTGCTGCTTGTGGTCCATTTACTGCCAGAGTTTTTCTCAGCATGCGTTTGATGGAGGAGGTGATGTGAGGTATGACATGCAATAACACAAAAGGAAACACCAGTACATACAACTGTAAAGTTTAAAGGATTTTTGCCACCTTCCTCCAAGTCTCTAAATCTGTGGGTAACAGCTCAGTCGCAGGGTCAACCCTTGACATCTGCAGGTAGCACTGGGAGACATCCCTGCCTGAAACCCTGGAGAGCTGCTGCCAATCAGTGCTGAACTAGATGGATCAGTGGTCTAATTCAGCACAAAGCAGCCTCCTATGTTGTTTCTAAATGTACATTGTCTCTGATCCCAACACCCAAAGTGTTTGGCAGGTATGTGTACATATGTGTGTACACAAATACTGAAACCAACCCACAACCAATTGGTTGCCTTAAAAGGGCACACTTTGTGGGGAGGGCTGTTGTTTTCCAGGGAAATGGAAAACAAGGATGGTCCTTCCCAGTAATTATTTTTTTCCTTTCACTGATCTGACCTTCCATTCTGAATGTTCAAATATGATGTGAAATAATTCTTAGCCAGCCTGCCACTCTTTTTCTCCTCTCCTATTGTGCAATGTGCCACCTTCCTCCTACTTTCTTTTCCCTTTAACTTTCCCAGTTCCCATTTCCAAATGTGATGTCAACACCATTTGCCCTTGCTTTCTCCCTTCCTGCCTCATATATACAAAACCTTATGAATGCGTGGCAGCCTGTTGCTGTTTTAACTTACCCGAAAGCATCCTTTATTCCTGAACAGGTTCCAGCTCCTGCAACTAGACTCTAGTCTCTGCATTAACTATTTTTCTGTCTCCTTGTCTCAGGTGGTTGACAAACGTGCCTATATGGCGGTGGGATCCCTCACCATAAATGCAGAACGCTCAGAAGTGGTAGACTTTTCTGTACCCTTCATTGAGACAGGCATTAGTGTAATGGTGTCGCGAAGCAATGGGACTGTCTCACCTTCTGCCTTTTTAGGTAAAGTTTTTTTAATTATATATATTTTTTGAGGCAAAGTGCAGGGGGGAAATATTTTAAGAAAAACAACCAGAATGTTTGCTGTTCTTTTTCTAATTTAAAAAACAAACAGCACACACACACTGCTTGAAAGAAACTTTATACACCCTGAAGTTCAATCCTGAACTAGATTTCAGAACCAGGTTCTAGATGTGAAAATGAGAATACTAACAACAACTTCAGAAATATTGGTCCCGGGTTCCAGAACTAGAAGTTTAATTATGCTCAAATACATTTCTTCAGCTTTCCCCTGATCTTTGCTTCCCAAAGCCTGGAGTTGACCTATGACAATCATTTGGCATCCCAGCAGTATGACATGCAGACGTTCAGAAGAAGCCTTTCCTTATATGCCTTATATGCAAAGAAGTGAAGGCAGAGTCTCTTTCTTTATAAGCCTTTTTTTGCGTGCAAAGCCCTCAAAGCACCATAAAACTTTAAAAAATCTAATGAAATCACAATAGCAGCAGGGAAAATATACTGACAAAAAAGCTAGATACTAATTCTTAACTGGCTAGTGCATTTCCATTCTGAGGATCTACATCAATATGGCGCTCTGTGCCAGTCTACAGAAAGGGAAAGGACTAGGCTGGCTTTCTGGGGCAGAGAGTTCCAGAGCCTGGGTTAAACCAGGCTGAGAGTCAAAGCAAAGTGAATAACAATGGAGTCACATGCTCCAGACAACAGGATCCCAACATCAGCCTGAAAGCAGTATTTTGAACACATTTCAAAGCCAGAAGCACTAGAACATATTGCAAAGTACTGCAATTGCATATTACCACCTCTCCCCATACTAACCCACCCATAGCCTGCAAGAAAGGCCTGAGGCCCTTCTTCGTGTGAGGTCTGGAGGGTGGCAATACAAGAACTGGCCTTTTCTGCAGTAGTTTCTCGCTTGTGGAATGCTCTCTCCAGGGAAGCTCATCTGACACCTTCATTATATACTGTAAGGTGCTGGCAAAAACTCACTTCTGTGTAAGTTCTGTACCTGAAAGCAACTGCCATTTAGAATAACAGTAACTGTATAGAAACAGTAACCAAATCAGTTCTGGGTGGAATTTAATGATGGGCTCTTCCAATCTTTCCACCCACACAATCATTTCTGCCTGCCAGATGGAACAATACCAGCTCTCCTCCCTAGGGGGCAGCGTGAGGAGATGAGGGGGGAAGGCCCTTTCCATAAGTAGAAGTCCTTGCATTTGGCTTCCACTGATGGGGCTGGCCTGTATTTTGGGGTAGGATGGAAAAGCACCTACAATTTTTCTGTCTTTTTCTCTATAGAGCCATTCAGTGCTGATGTATGGGTGATGATGTTTGTAATGCTGCTTATAATCTCTGCGGTGGCGGTCTTTGTCTTTGAGTACTTCAGCCCTGTGGGATACAACCGGTGTCTGGCTGATGGCAGAGGTAAGGAGACATATCTCTCAACATGCAACGATTATGGTCTTGCTTGTTTAGCTTGGCTTCATTTTATCCTCCTCCTGCATATATGTCAACCATTTACAGATTTTTTCTCTGGGTAAACAAGGAAAGAAGTTGAATCAATAGATTCACAAACAGCAGAAAATTTAAATGGATCTCTTTGGGTGATTGGGCATTTGCATGGCTCACAATACAGAGCCACTAATTTCCAGCTGACCTGAAATTATCTGCCTGACCCTATGTGTGTTTGCTCATAATTTCTCCAAAGTAAACATGCTACTTTCTTAAACTGAAATATATATTCCCTTGGACAACCGTTCACATTTGAATTGGTACCCAGCAAATGTGCAAAATTTTGCAAATTTTGTCATGCATATGAATTTTAACGTAATAAATTTGCAACCCTTGATTGCTTTTCCTATTTTGGTTCTGCTTGCCTTGGCTGTATAACTGGAAATTTACATGACGACAATGATGATGATGATATTACAAAGCTATGTAATGTTACATTCATCTATCTCTCATTACACTAATTGCATTAATGGAATTATTTCCTTTCAGAGATTCACCCAAAGTGCCTAATGGAGAACCTCTGCACATTAACCCCTTGCAAATTAATTCACATCTAGATTGTGTGTCAGAAGAAGGACAGGGATAAGGAAGTTACAGCAATCTAGGGGTGCTTGAAGCAGCAGAAACGACAAACCATCTCCACTGTCATACTCTACTGCCTCCATAAATTTGAGACATATTAACCATTAATTTAATATCCTCGGGTGGGTGGGGGATGTAGATGGAGTAGTTGTGGGGGGACAGGGAGCAAAAGATGCAAAGCTGTCTGATTAGAGAGTTGATTTATGAGTGAAGGGCAAAGGCAGAATACAGAAAATAAGTGAAAGCACTTGGATGCTGGTAAGATACTGGTATATTCCCTTGGCTTCGTTGAGCTGTGAAATGGCCCCCTACGTAAGACCTTCTGGTTTACCCACAGGCTGAAAATATGAAGATGCTTGAACTGAGATATTTGTGTGAAAATCGTTTTACCCGCTTCTCAAATTTGCCCTGAACGTATCTATGCCACCAAGTTTCTGAGCCCTGAAGAAAAGATATTTTGAAATGGAAATTTAGTCAGAGCTTTATGTATAGTCATGCCAAAGGGAGCTGTTGTCCACAAGCTGTGGACAGCATACATGGACCAATGCACATATCTAAGGAGATGTATGCAGAGTTGTGAATATTCATGAAGATGCTCATGCTGAAATTTCTGTATACACACCATGCACATATTTTTAGTACAGGTAGCAGAACAGATGTGAATGGTGAATAGCTTGAATGAATTATTTGGGGCAAAACTGGATTCTATATGTGAAATGATGACATACATTGTTATGAGAAACACGCATTGCACAAGGCCAATATGGATATGTTCATGTGTGTTTTTTCTGGATACCAAATGCTACACAGAGTTCACTGTGTGTTTGCAGCTGTTTGCATAGTCCACATGATGTTAGCCCATGCAACTCAATGGGATTTACTTCTGTGTAGTCATTGAGGATGATCGTCATATCTTAATTGTTGAGGTATCCTGAAAAGGTACTCTTGCTTTATAAATCTGTGGTGATTCTGGAAGAAGAAGCAGCAAATATAGACCATGCAAAACTGAAAATATGCAATGTTCAACAATGTTTCTTTGCAATTATGCAGTGGAGCTAGTTTAAAGTTTTATTTTATTTATCCATTTTCCCTTTAAAAGTTTCCTTTAAAAGTTCCTTACTCGCTTCCTCAAATTTTAAAAATGCAAATTATAAACATCAATACAGAGATAAATTAATTTGCATGCAAAAATAAATGTTGATGAAATGCTTCACTGTTAAGTATTCAAAAAGCCAAAAAATGCAAAATGAATGTTTCTCATAATAACTTATCTCATTTGCATTGCATATGTGGGAGCCAGATTTGCCATCAGATACATTCATTCAATTCTTATTGAAAGTCAGCTGGAGTTGTGGCACATAAGCCTGCATTAATAAGCATAACTAATAGACTCTGTGAACTTGGTTTGAGTTAGTTCCATTAAAATGCAGACGGAAAAAGAGCAGCTGTGTGAAGGAACTCTCTTGGCCTTGTACTTCATTGCATGGATGTTTCTAGTTGTTTAGATCACAGTGACCTTGTAGGACTTAAAGAACTTTTGAAAACCTGTGCTCACACTTACTTAACAGAACAGCAATAGCTATGATACCAAATGCCACAATTTGTTATAGAGCTAGAGGCGTCATGAAATTTCTGTTCTACTCATGGGAGTGCTCCTGAATGTCTAAAACTCGTGACGTGAAAAAGATTTATGTGTGCCTCTGTTTGCAAGTCATACATAAGTATGCCAAGACTCCGAGAGCAGCACTGCATACTGTACTTTCATCTTACGGGGAGGTACCTGTATCGCTTCCTCCCTGTTGCAGTTTAGGAGTAGCTTGCGGAGTTAGTTGCTTCAGTGATTCTATTTACGATAATGTTTGGATAAAAAAAATGCATGCATGTATTGTTAAGGCAGATGGCATTTTGTTATACCTCACCCTTCATTTGAGGTACTCAAAATGACCTTTTAGCTTCACAGCAACCAGAAGATGATGACTAGGTGAGTTGCCCAAGGTCACCCACTGAGCTGAGCAGCCAAGGGTAGATTTGTTTCTGGGTTTCCCACAGAACATTAGGGTCCTTTCACTCAATTATTTTGTGGGATTCAGGCATATTTATTTAAGACACTTTTCTGCTGCAGGACTGTCACATTTCCCCTGCGTTCCACCTACAGCATTTTGTGGATGGGAAATGCAAATTGTTGTCCTTTGTGCAGAATGTGGCTGCTGGAATTCCATTGTACCCACCTAAATGTCAGTGTCACAACAAATACCCCACCCTCATTCATTTACTATGTTAACACAATTTTCTATACTTTTTAAAGTTCAGCTTTTAGAGTTGTGCTTTCTTGGGGACTGTTTTTACTTTTTGTTAGAGGATCATTCAATCCCAAGAACACGCATGTAGCCCTCAAAAGACAACAGGTGAACATCAGCAATGCCAAGTGTTTTTCAATAATTTTTTTTATTTTTGCTGTGCTTTCCCTTTCTAGAGTTGGAGAGCACATCCTTTTTGTTTTGTTTTTTGTTTTGTTTTAGAGTAACTAAACATTAAAACTGAAGCCTACCAGCGACTCATCACACTCCCAAAGCATGCTTTGATAACTGGGAACATCCAACAAGGTTCTGCCATCTCCCAACTTTCTCCAGCTGCATGCATTTCCCTTTCTTTCTCTAGTTAGTGTTAACTGCAAGGTTTCATTGCTACATCTGACCTGGCATAAGAACAGTTACCACTGACCATAGTTAGCTTCTAAATCAGAGATTGAAGTAAATTTCTAACCCTGGTTTCAGTCTCTGTTTTAGAAGCCAACTGCTATTTTACCTCTTCAGATTTAACACTGCAATTCTATGGACACTTACCTGGGAGTAGGTCCTGTTGGCGCTTACTTCTGAGCAGACATGGTTAGAATTCTGCTGTAAATTAGTTCATATTAACCAGGAAGAACAGAGAAAGAGAGGAAGAAAAGTGTGTAAATTTATGGGATTCTTCCAATATACCAACCTATGTTTGTGCAATCAGACAAAGTGATGTGTAAGAGAAAAGGGTCAGGATTTTGTACTAACTACTTGGAATGACGGACTTTGCCAGTCTGATCACTATTTCTGCTTATGTTTTTGGTCATTTCAGAGCCTGGTGGTCCTTCTTTCACCATTGGCAAAGCTATCTGGTTATTGTGGGGCCTGGTATTCAACAACTCTGTGCCAGTGCAGAATCCCAAGGGCACTACGAGCAAGATCATGGTGTCTGTGTGGGCCTTCTTTGCTGTCATCTTTCTGGCCAGTTACACTGCCAATTTGGCTGCCTTCATGATCCAAGAGGAGTATGTAGACCAGGTGTCTGGGCTGAGCGACAAAAAGGTAATGCATTTGCAACCTCAGAGGGTTGCTTCCTTGTCATTAAATCCTTTTGCTTCTTCTCTGATTTTAATTGAGTGCACTCTGAGCTTGGTTAGCAATAATGCAGCCATAATTTAATTTATGATGCTAGTAATAAATAACATGATAATTCAAATAATAAGAAAACTTTTTAATTCTATTTTCTCTGTGTTTTTTTAATTGATTTGTGAATATCTAAACCCAAGTTTCTCAAAGTATAAAGTGAGCACTTTATAAAGTATGTGTTGGCATCCTATAACTGTATGAGCAGTTGCCAGGAGATCTGAAACGACTTCCCTGATAAACCCAGATTTTGTATATATCTTGACTGGGCAAAGAAACAGAATGTGTCTGCTCTCTTCTTAGCAACTGTGAACTAATAAACTAGTGCTCTGCCTCCCATTCCTTCTGCTACCCTTTAATCCACTTGAACTCTGCTTGGGGCAAGTATGACAAATACAACATTTTGTCTTTGGCTGATTTTGTTCTCCTGCTTTCCAGTTTCTGTAGGAATTTCTCACAAACTGAGAAGTGCTGCACAGCAATGCTCTGAGAGGTTATTATTATCTTCCCTGTAAAGAGGAGGAACAGACACTGATATGCTTAAGTCCATGGCAGAAATAGGATTTAAGCACACACACACACCCCATACACAATAGCCCACTCCTATGCATAAAGGTAAAGGTACCCCTGCCCGTACAGGCCAGTCTTGACAGACTCTAGGGTTGTGCGCCCATCTCACTCTATAGGCCAGGGGTCAGCGCTGTCCGAAGACACTTCCGGGTCACGTGGCCAGCGTGACAAGCTGCATCTGGCGAGCCAGCGCAGCACACGGAACGCCGTTTACCTTCCCGCCAGTAAGCGGTCCCTATTTATCTACTTGCACCCGGGGGTGTTTTCGAACTGCTAGGTTGGCAGGCGCTGGGACCGAGCAGCAGGAGCGCACCCCGCCGCGGGGATTCGAACCGCTGACCTTTCGATCGGCAAGCCCTAGGCGCTGAGGCTTTTACCCACAGCGCCACTCCTATGCATAGTTATATGGAAATCCCACTATATTCAATTGGCTTTATTCCCAAATAAGTGCACAGGATTGCAGCGATAGGTTATATATTTTAACATGAAGCTTCAGAAAATGGAAGTATATCAGCTAAATAGCTATATTTGGAAGTACTTAGGCTGGAGAGAAAAAATACCCCCATGCAAGTTAATGTAGTTACAATGTAGTTGATAATTTGGGGCTCTGCTGTTATCGGTGAATGAGGGATGGGGATGCAACCCTGAAAGGAAATCTTCCCTCACCCATTTTCTTAATATTTTTTCTTCCTTGCTCTCATTTCCTGATTTTTTTACAAAGAATTTTTTGCAATTGTGTGAATTATAGATGCAGATGTTTTATGGTAGGCTGGGCTGTGCAGCAGCATTAGACAGAGGTCACTGGCTTGTGGTCACAGAGGTGGACTCCTTGTGCTTATGGGTCATAGCTATTGAGGAATATAGTGTTGTAAGCTCTAGTTTATCATTAGTGCATCGTTTTATTTTTTAACAATAATAATATTTATTAGTACAATATTATCTTATCATACTTTGTTTAAACCAGGCTTGTCTGATATGCTGCAAGAGTGGCACTACAGTCTCCTAGATTAGATGTCCTCAAGACAGATGTCCGTAATATTTGTGACCTCAGTGCCTTTTTTATTATTCATTCTGTCCCATTTTAACCTCACAAACCATCAAAGATTATGAGTCTTCAGTGGTTGCTGATGGATGAATTAGCATATATAAGAAGCACAGGATTATTGTTGGTAGATTCAAATCCTGGGGGAAAGGGCCTTTCTTCCTATGTCCCTCCCCCTCCCTTTTGAGATATTAACTGCAATTTGTACCAAACCATGGGCTATTCTTTACCTTAAGGTGTATTCTGGATTTCAGGTTCTTGGATAGATGGCCAAACTTCATGTAATGTAAGGGTTCTGTGGCTGGAATTCCTGTTGTCTTTTCCCATTACAAAAAGATCTGCCTGATTTGGAAGAGGGAGTTTAACAATTTTTGAATGTATGTGTTGCATCCACACTTCTTAGCTCCCCATCTTTTCAGAAAGTCCTTCCCTGGGCAGCCAAAGAAGAGGAGGTAAAACGGTCTCGGCACTTTACCCCACCCCCAACACCAGAGGTGTAGCAACTATCACTCCTCTCCTCTCCTCTGATTTTGTCCCACAGTAGCCGCCCAGGCAAATCCTTCCAGAAAGTAGGGGAGGAATTAGTCTCATAGCCAATGGGAGTTGGAAGTTGGTGGGTCCTTCCAACTCCAGCAAATGCTCCATGCTGCGGAGCTTGAAGATAGATTATAGTCGTCCCTCTGCTTGCATCAGGTTGGCAACCCACAGCTTTGAAGGCTGCCTGCACATTACACTTTGTAACTTTATTTCTAGAAGGGCTGAAGACATACTATTTTACAAAAATTAAAAACTCAGTGTTTGGGTCTTGTGCTGCCATGAGCCCTGGTGCAATTGCTGCAATTGTACCATTATAAATCCATCTCTGTTAGGACTGCATGGATTCCTATTGCCTGGGGTCCAAACAACTCACTATATCAGTCACAGCTCTGACCTCACTTATTGGCTAAAAACATTGAGAGGCAGGAACAGCCAGGCTGGCTCATTTGAAAGAAATTATTCAGAAAGGTACCTGCATGTTATGATTGAAAAATTTCTTATTAGAAGGGCTAGAAACTTCTTCTTTTTTTAATGAAAGCTCTGAGTCTGGTAACCCCCTTCAGGGATGTCAATGAAGGCCTTCATGGGCACCAGGTTGGTGACCTCTGTCCTAACGGACCAGCCTCCACTGATTTTAATTGGGAAGAAGGAGAAGCAAACAGTAGAAACAAAACAACTAAAATGCTAGAATTCACCCATCTCAATTCATTTCTTGTAGTCACATTTCAAAGCTATCCTCTCAGATAACAAGGCACACTAATGGCTTGGAGGCCCCTCAGCCCCATGTGGCCCTAATGCTGCACACACCTATAAATCCTTTCCTGCTGGGAGCAGCAACATTGACATTGTTGGAGCTGTTGGGGCTTGTAGTCTGCAGGTGTGGCCTTCTTATTCCAATCTAGAACATTACTTTCCTAAAATCCCTTGCATCCTAATTTTGGTTTCTCTTGCTGTTGTTTGTGTCTGTCTTGAGTGTTAGTTATGAGGTAAGTCTTGTCCCTTCACCCCCGGCCCCTAAATTCTAGCCTTTGGTGTGATTGATTTAAATCCAGTGTTAAATGCTTAAAGACCTCTGCGTCTCTGAGTAACAGTATACAGTGGTACCCTGGGTTACAGACGCTTCAGGTTACATACGCTTCAGGTTACAGACTCCGCTAGCCCAGAAATAGTACCTCGGGTTAAGAACTTTGCTTCAGGATAAGAACAGAAATTGGGCTCCGGTGGCGTGGCAGCAGCTAAAGTGGTGCTTCAGGCTAAGAACAGTTTCAGGTTAAGAACAGACCTCCGGAACGAATTAAGTACTTAACCTGAGGTACCACTGTAGTATCTTGCTTAGAATCATAGAACTGTAGAGTTGGAAAGGTACCTCAAGGGTCATCAAGGCAAATCCTCTGCAATGCATGTGGCTTGTATGGGAATCTAACCCGCAACCTTGGCATTATCAGCACCACACTCTAACCAACTGAGCTAACTGCCACTCAGTGGCGTAGCGTGGGGGGTGCAGGGGGGGCTGGCCGCACCGGGCGCAACATCTGGGGTTAGGGCAAATCCATGGGTTAGGGGGCGCAAATCCACAGGTTAGGGGGCGCAAATTACTTGCCTTGCCCCGGGTGCTGACAACCCACGCTACGCCACTGCTGCCACTTGAGTGTCCAGCTTAGTGACAGTATTCTCTGTGTGCTTGTGTGTGTACCAGTCCAAGACATTTTGCTGCCTGTAGTGGAGCAGAGAATGGTCTTGCTCTCCCTGCCCCACACCCAGTTAGGATCCATAGTACCTAAGGCCAGTCAAATTATTTTGGCATCGGAGGCAAAAACATGCATCTCTCCCCTTCTCTAACTACTAGAGAAGTACAATGGTAATAGCTATTGAATTATTTGGCACCATTTAAAGATACCAAAAATAGATTGACTCAGGTGGCTGCCTCACTCTTTCTAATGGTAAGGCCAACTCTGGAATTGTTTGTCTGTGGTCACATTCACACTATATATTTGCAGCGCTATGATACCACTATAAACAGCCATGGCTTCCTCCAGGCAATTCTGAGAGCTATGGCTTGTGAAAGGTGGTGGGAGTTGTTAGGATTTCCTGTTCCCCTCACTCTTAATAAATGTAGCTCTGGATAATTATAGATACCCTGTTTCCTCCCGGAGCTACAATTCCCAGAGCTACATTTAACAATCAATCCCTGTTCCCAGGGAACTTTGGAAATTGTAGTTCTGTGAGAGGAATTGGTGACCTCCTAACAATTCTCAGCACCTTTCACCAACAACAGCTCCCAGAATGCAGCTCACTCTTCATACAATGCTTTTCTTGTGGCAGGCATAATGGAGGCCATTAGCTCTGTTACTTTTGAAACAATTAAACTATTTATAGGGGGATAGGTTAATCAGAAGCTTTTACCTGTGATAGTGAATAGTGATGGGGCAGTATACCTCTGAATATCAAATGATTCTTGAGAACGAAAAAGGCAGTGTTGGTCTCACCTTCACATCTTGCTTATGCTGAAACACAATGTAGAATTCGTTGGGATTTTTTGTGAGTCTAGCAGGGATCTTCCTATGTTCTGATGCCATAGCTAAACCCAGTTTCATCATTCTCATGGCTCATTTTTGCTGAACCTATTTTCTTCCTCTAGCAGATCCCTCCAAACAAATTGTATACATGCCTCCAATTATTTCCCCCTTCAGATAATTGTTCCTTAAATATTCATTTCCCAGTTCCTTATTCTTTAAGATCAAAGGAAAGGGCCAAAGGTTAAAGGACAAAT